GTAAATGACCTTCTTGACGCGATGGAAAAACAAGAAGTTACTGCTTTAATTGCAATAGATCTAAGTGCTGCATTTGACACGGTAGATCACGAAATTTTGCTGAATGTACTTCAAAAACAGTATGGAATATGTGGTTCGGCATTAAAGTGGATAGATTCTTATCTGCGGCCTCGTGGCTGCACGGTGTGCGTTAACTCCGTGACATCATCGGTACGTCAACTGCAGTGCAGCGTTCCTCAGGGCAGCTGCCTGGGACCCTGGCTTTATTTAACATACGCAGGGACCTTATTTGATGTCATTCCTTCAACCATATCGGTGTATGGCTTTGCAGACGACCATACCGCAAATAAACGGTTTAACCCAACGTCAAAACGCAATGAAATTAACGCCATTCGCGAGCTAGAGGAATGTGCTATCGATATTAACAATTGGATGAATGCAAACAAGCTTAAAATGAATTCATCAAAAACAGAATTCATCCTCTTTGGAAGCAAACGGCAACTAGAAAAATGTACAACAAAATCTATAATCATTAACGAAAATGAGATCGAATCTGTTAAATGTATACGATATTTAGGTGCTTTTCTGGACGAGAACTTAAATTTTAAAGATCATGTCAACAAAAAATGCCGCACAGCTATGTTTAATTACCAAAAAATCAAATGTATTCGAAAATATTTAACGACCGAAGCAACAGAAGTCTTAGTTTTATCTTTAGTTATATCCCATTTGGACTATTGCAATGTGATTCTGTATGGTATATCGCAAGGAGAAATCGTCAAAATGCAAAGAATTCAAAATATGTGCGCAAAACTAGTTTTAAACCGCAAAAAATATGACAGTTCTAAGAAAGCCCTTTCTGATCTTCATTGGCTACCAATCAAATGCAGAATATCTTTTAAAATTCTAACATTCATGTACAATTGTTCTGTTGGCCAAGCACCGGAGTATTTAAAAGAACTGTTAACGAAAAAAACATCAAATGTCAATTTACGCTCTTCAAGAAATTCTGAAAGTCATTATAATGTTCCATTTAATAAGAGAAAAACCTTTAGTGACAGAAGTTTTAGTACCATCGGCCCCAAACTGTGGAATGAACTGCCAACCAGTGTTCAAAACTCAGGATCAATTGACATTTTCAAAAACAAATTAAAAAATTACTTCTTCAGAGACTTCAATTCCTTGTTTTAATTCTTCGTATGTATGTAGTATTATGTGTAAAAAAAAAAGGACTTTATGAATATGTATAATTTATGTGTATATGTTAATATCTTTTATTTTCTTAATGTACAACGCCATTGAATACGTTTTATGTAAAAATAGGCGTTTAATTAAATAAACAAGTTTCAAGTTTTAAGTTATGTTTCTACAGTGTATAATTTTTTGTCCAAAATGATTGATTGCTTAATTTACTAGTGGTACAGTTGAAGTAAATGTTACTGATTAAAAAACAGCTAGAAAAAATGTCAAATGGAGATTTTCCTTAAGAAATAATCAGTCTAAAGAATTTAACAATTGAAAAACATGTACAAGAAAGTAAAATTCATTTTATTAATTCAATAGTAAGATTTTTAAAATAAAATAAAATATTCTGATGACTAATCTATCCTATTCTAGCATAATATTTTTTCGCAAAATAACGCGAAAGTTACGCGTTTATTCGCGAAAGTTTCGCGTTATATCGTGAAAGTTACGCGTTTATTCGCGAAAATTTCGCGTTATAACGGGAAAGTTACGCGTTATATCTCGAAAGGTTCGCGTTATAACGCGAAAGTTACGCGTTATATCGCGAAAGGTTCGCGTTATAATGCGAAAGTTACGCGTTTATTCGCGAAAGTTTCGCGTTATATCGCGAAAGTTACGCGTTATATCGCGAAAGTTTCGCGTTATAACGCGAAAGTTACGCGTTTATTCGCGAAAGTTTCGCGTTATATCTCGAAAGTTACGCGTTTATTCGCGAAAGGTAGGCGTTATAACGCGAAAAAAATTATTTTTCTTACCTACGAAAATGAGCTCATTGGGCTTTCGTATGATATGAATAAATGGAATGTTGTATTTAAAAAGAAAATCAGAGACATTCTTTTCCAAGGATGAAAAATTTTATGTAAATCAGATAGCTATTAATTTCATATGCTGAAGCTAAGTTGTTTCAACTCGTAAGGGGGGGATTAATTGTTAATTATTGACCCCCTTTGAGAATCCTTCACTCATGGAAACACAACTTGCTCATTTGCAGATCTAAAAGGGATAGGGGTAGTTTGGTCCCCCCCCCCCCCCCCCGCCCCGGAATTTGCAGAGTTAGCAAATTCATATACTAAACCAAATAAAAGAGACTTTGAACAGTGAGGGATCTTTTTCGTGAAAAAACAACAGGGGACACCGATTTATATGATCTCATCCGAACAGTCTCAACGTCCCGCAGTTAATTTAATCCCACGACGTATCTAATGATAAGGTCTGAATAGGAAGGGGTTTGTCTTGATCACATGAAAAAATGTTATAGTTAAATGTTTACTCAAAAAAATAATGAAAAAAAAAATCACTATATATTTAAAGCAATTTGATTTCGAGGGGTCCATTTTATACCATTATTTTCGGCCGCAGTAGCGGCCGATCTATTTGTGGTTGTATTAGAGACGTTATTTTTTTAGTAGTTCAGTAAAATATTTTTTAAATGATAACACGTATAAAATCAGAAATAAAATATTTTAAAAACATCACCTATTCCCAGTCTTACGTGCTTGATTTTAATATACATTTTTTTCGGATTATCAAAATGAAAAAGGTTTAGTAATGTCCACACAACAATACGTGTATTATGTAAAACAAAAGAATAACAGGGACGATAGAATTAAGGCTGAGCATCCCCTTGCAATTATATTGATCAAGCTTAAGGAAGCATTGGACATCGATCCCGATGCAAATTACGTCACCTCCGTTTTGCACAGAATTAACACAGAATTAGTCCTTAAATACAAACACACACAACTGCCTTCCAATATCCCCTAAAACTCTATTGTAAAGAAGTAATTAGACCTGTGCATCTTTTAATATCCATATTAAGATATTAACAAGACTAGTACTTAAAAATCCTAAATGACGTTCAAAAGTCATATTTCATGGACGATATTGGGTGCAAAACACAGTTTTATGTATGACGTTATCAGGACGTTACTTGGTGAGGGACGAGCAAAACTGGCCCCTGTAAAGAAATAAAATGGAGGCTTATTACATATACTTCTGCATATCAATGGAAAGATAAAATTGTGAATTTAATAAATATCCAACTATAATACATTCATCAATTACTACTAGGGAGTATTTGACACCTGAAATATGGGGGATATTGGGTTGTTTATGTATCCATTTTCAGCATTTTTAAACCCCCCCCCCCCTGCTCAACAAAAACAGAAAAAATCTGACAAAATAAGTTATGTGCATTTCACAGAACAAGTCCTAAGGTTTTCTTTTAATGTGCTTTTAGGGTACATTTTCCACCTCTTGAAAGAGCTACATTACCTGTTAATTGACTCATGCAATTCTGCACATGTGAAAACAAGATGTTTGGGGAGTTATCTCCCCCTATTAAAAAGTCTCACAATTTTTTTTTTCTAAAAATGAATGCACATTTTTTTTCTTTAAATATTAAGAGAAGACTCTACTTTATGCAAAAAAAAAAAAAAACAAAAAAGATGCAGTTTTCATCTAGACTCCTATAAATAGCAGGAAAATCCCTACCCAGCATGCTTCTCTTTGGGAACCCCCCCCCCCCCCCCCTGGATTTTATACTAAACTGCGTTTAGCTACCATTAGAAAAATTGTTTTATTAAGAGGAATTATATACTGAACAGAAGTCTTCATATCAATTTACTGATGACCTCTATATTGCAACAAATTGAAAACATATCAACGTTTTGAAAGTGACCAAAATTGTCAAGTTTTTGAGATATTTCCTTTCTGTTATTAATGTAGTCAGAGACATATTTATGAAGAAAGTTCGTTGCTATGACAACCATCAGATTATCATCATCATACCCTGACAAAAGAAATTTAGCCGTTGTAAACTATCAAAAAAGTTTTGTTGTTCTTATCAGTATTAGTGAGTATGGTTAACTCAGTGTTCTCTGAGGAGGGTACCGAGTAACTGTGTGTGTATAACGTAATGACGCTACTTTTTAACGTTAACGTTAACTATTAACGGCGGTCAATCAATGGCTTAATTTTCTCCTTAAATTAAGTTTTTCGGACAAATTGGTGTTATTTTTAAAAAATAGACATCCACAACATATAATCAAAAAAATAAAATTTATTTTTGAGCTGGGGCCGATTTTCGCCAATGGAGCCCCTACCTCTTTTGAGTGGTAGCGAGTTTGAATCGGACGATGGATTGTCTGCAAAGAAACAGGATAATGTTTAAAAAATATTGTCGAAAGAGTTAAGAACGTCATTGAACGTGATGTGTGCTTCACTGTTGCAGAATTAATAGAGTTACATGGAAAATTAAAGAATTTGAAAACAATGACATTCTTATTCAAGTCATATTTGTACAATTGTTCGCAAACTAGGTGTTAAGTGTTATGGATATTTTTTTTTGAATGGAGAAGACGCTACAAACCGTGTTTTAAATTACGAAAATTAGTATAATTTTGACAAACTTTCTCAACGTTGTCTTTGGCATTACAATGTTGGTTAACCGTGCTCCGTAGTAACAAAACATGTTGGTCTAAATTTTGGATAATCATCAAATGGAATGAAACTTCACACTTCGACAAAATAAATGTTTATGTTTACGAAAATGTGTTGATCTATAATCTTGTAATAATTATATGACGATGAGAAGCATTGTCTACGTATTTTGAATGACCCTCGTATTTATATAATCATATCGGTTTTGCTTTTCCTCATGGATTAATTTTAAACAATGAAAGTTAGTTTTATTAAATAAAACAAATGTAAAAAATATGTAATTCAACAACGAAATACTTTTTTTTTATTTCCAGGTTACATTCCAGACTTTAAATGTAAGATACCAGAAAAACACGTGACAAATTACTACGCCGACATCAATACGTCATATAACGTCACAATCCATTCGATTCAATGTGACGTCATCTATGAGACAAACAGGTCTGGGGTTCTCACACGGGAGACTATTCCATGTCGGGATGGATACGAATATTTTGGCCAGGAGACCACTGCGTCAGAGGTACGAAACTAAGTAAACATTAAATATAGAGATAAAAACAGTAATCATGTTCCATTAAAACTATACACCTGGAGAGAAGAACAATAAAGGACTTTTAAGAACATCAGTAGTGGAATCAGGTGCCATGGAGAGAAAAGCATCTCCTGTCGACTGGTCATACTCGTCGACCATCGTGTGCTCTTCGTCATGATCGGAGAAATAGGAAAAAATCGTACACCGTTCAGTGCATTAAAAATAACTTAATAAGTACTGTAAAATCACATATTTTCTTGGGGTCAAATTTTCTTGGTTTGAGTAAAAATTCTTGGATCGTGGGGATTTCGAATTTGTGGATGAAGAATTGTTGAGTAGTTAACTTTGGTGGTGGACATGAATTCTCGGGTCTCTTCACACCTCGAAAACAACGAAAACTAACCCCCACGATAATTAGTGATTTCACAGTACATGTAAATTGTATGAAAAACGTCAGTCAGCTTTTGAATTTTTAATGATGGATTACATTCACATTATCAATACATGTATGATACAATTTTCAGTGGAATCTTGTTTGTGGAGCCGAGGGCCTAGGAAGTATGTCAACCACAATGACGGTGATTGGACAGATGATAGGAGCTGCACTGTTTCCCGCCCTGGCAGATAAATACGGTCGTCTGCTGATCTCCTACACAAACTTTATCGCCATGGCTCTGTGTTATGTGTTGGCAGCTTTTGTTCCTTGGTTCAGTGCCTTCGTCATCTTAAGATTACTAATGGGGGCCTTTGGCCAGGTAGGTCACTATAAGTCACTGTTACAATCTCTCTCGATAGAGCACTCGCTATCGGTGGTTGATTCAAACCCCGACCGCTGCATATCAAATCTGGCAAAAACAGGTAGCCATATTCCTTCGCTAAGCATTAGAAGTAAATCTAGATGTTTTTTTTTCCGGTGAGAACTCAAAGCTGCATGTGAACAAATTCTTTTCTTCCGTTTCAGGGAGCTGGATTGACGTTGGCAACCCTGCTTTTGGAGATTTTTCCCGCTGAGTCACGTGGCAATGTTGTCTCTATCGGAAGTGTAGCCTGGTCTCTCTCCATTTCTTCCATATCTCTAGTAGCCTACCTCCTCCGTAACGTATCCTGGAGATACACCATGCTGGCTGCCGGTATCATAGGCTCCCATAGCCTGGCTTCACGCTGGTATGTACCACTATATCTCTAAATCTGTCGGTATCATAGGCTCACACAGCCTGGCTACACGCTGGTATGTACCACTATATCTCTATATCAGCCGGTATAATAGGCTCACACAGCCTGGCTACACGCTGGTATGTACCACTATATCTCTATATCAGCCGGTATAATAGGCTCACACAGCCTGGCTACACGCTGGTATGTAGCAATAATTTCTAAGCTACTTGCCCTTTACTGTCTGTGTATCTGTCGGTATGAACAACTGAAATAGTCCTATCATTCATTGTATTCAACAGCCGTTCATAATAAGTTTGTAAGCTTTATTGACATCACACAACTCATTAAGTTTCTATAATATTATGTGACTGCCCATTTAATCCGGAACTTGCAAAATTGCTATACATGCAGTAGCTATAGTGTCGTCCGATATAATCAAGCACCAAAACATTTGCTACATCGTGGTATGCTTCTTGTGAAGAGAACAACCTGATCATGTTTGCCTCTGTAATTTAAGACTGAATCTTCATGATTTGCTTCGTATATTTCATTGCAACAATATGTAACTGTTTACCCAAAATGCAAGAGAAACGTATCATGCATTTACTCTCTCACTCTCTCTTCCCCTCTCTCTATCTCTCTCAACTCAACCTCAACCATTTTGTTTAACATTTCTAACATATCATATATCTCACTCAATTTTCTCCAGGATCCTTCAAGAATCTCCTCGATGGCTTGTAGCAAATGGTAGATACGAGGAGGCAAAACAATGGATAAAACGAGCTGCCAAGTGGAACAAAATAGATCCTTCTATTATAATAGACGAGTTTGACTCTGAATTACAGAGTAGTGAATTACAGTTGCTTGTAGATGAAACCACTGTGTATAACAAACCCGGGACAAACGATGAACAGACCGGGAAAAAGAGAAAGGAGGAGAGGTTGTCTGTTTTGGATATTTTCAGGCATAAACACATTCTACTGACGTCCGTCATAGTGTGGATAGTATGGTAATAATCTGTTTATTTTCAATTTGTACAAGATCTATTATGACGTCATAATCAGATTTAAATTCCATAATATAATTGAACAAGATAAGTGATCCATATGAAATATCTTTCTTGCTATAACATTAAAACGAAAAAAAGCCTTTTCTATGAGATAAATTATTTGAATGTATCTTTCTATGAAGGTTTGTAAACAGTATCACGTATTATGGACTTTTTCTGACCTCCGGTACCATGAGTGGAAATGTGTATCTTAATTTCTTCCTAAATGGCATCGTTGAGATCCCAAGCATTTTTCTCTATTTGTTTACAATCAACAGGTATTTTCATTTATTCCAATCCACACTGATTTAAGATCGCAAAATCAAAGATTAACTGAAAAAGAATATCAAACAAAATAATGTAAAAATCTCCTTCTAGATATGGTAGGAAGAAGACCTGTGTCATGTTTCACGCCATCGCTGGTGTTAGTCTGACCTTGACTGCCGTCCTTAACTTTACAGCAGGTAAATACTAGTACTACCTTAAAGGAATGATCCGGTGTTTTGATCAAAACGCAGGGCTTCTCTTGTTTCGGTCTTTTGATCAATAAGTAAGGCTTTACTAAAGGAATGCATTTTTTTTAATTGAAGGAATTTTCTGGTACAATTTTCAACAAAAAAAAATTCTTTTTAATTAAAGTAATACTTTCCCCCTTTTATCAACACATATATTTATAAACTGTAAATGTTCCTTGACCTTTTACCACACATACTTTAGGGTTTAATTAAAAAAATGTTAAGCTTTGATGAAACCTTTTGCAAAATTGCTATACACAGTAGCTATAGGTCGTCCGATATAATCAAGCACAAAAACATTTGCTATCGTGGTATGCTTCTTGTGATGAGAACAACCTGATCATGTTTGCCTCTGTAATTTAAGACCGAATCTTTCATGTTTTTGCTTCGTATATTTCATTGCAACAACATGTAACTGTTTACCCAAAATGCAAGAGAAACGTAGCATGCATTTACTCTCTCTCTTTCTCTCTATCTCTCTCAACTCAAGCATCAACCATTTTGTTTTACATTTCTAACATATATCTCACTCAATTTTCTCCAGGATACTAAGGTTTAATTGTAGCAAATGGTAGATACGAGGAGGCAAAACAATGGATAAAACGAGCTGCCAATGGAACAAAATAGATCCTTCTTTTGATCAACACGTAGGGCTTAATTACAAAGGAATTACAGTTGCTTGTAGATGAAACCACTGTGTATAACAAACCCGGGACAAACGATGAACAGACCGGGAAAAAGAGAAAGGAGGAGAGGTTGTCTGTTTTGGATATCTTCAGGCATAAACACATTCTACTGACATCCGTCATAGTCTGGATAGTATGGTAATAATCTGTTTATTTTCAATTTGTACAAGATCAATTATGACGTCATAATCAGATTTTAATTCCATAATATAAAATTTTGAACAAGATAAGTGATCCATATGAAATATATTTTTTACTGTAACATTAAAACGAAAGAAAGCCAGAGTTTTCAATGAGATTAATTATTTGAATGTATCTTTCTATTAAGGTTTGTAAAAAATCTGTGTTAATTTCAGCTGAGTGGAAATGTGTATCTTAATTTCTTCTTAAATGGCATCGTTGAGATCCCAAGCATTTTTCTCTATATGTTTACAATCAACAGGTATTTTCATTTATTACAATCCACACTTATATAAGATTGCAAAATCAAAGATTAACTGAAAAATAATATAAAAAAAAAATAAAGTAAAAATCTCCTTGTAGATATGGTAGGAAGAAGACCTGTGTCATGTTTCATGCCATCGCTGGTGTTAGTCTGACTGTGATCAAAAACTTTACGGCAGGTAAATTATACTACCTTAGGTATACCTTTACTTGTGTAAAAATTTATAATGAAATCGAAAAAACCTATAGCACATTGTACACCTATAATTCTTGTGTTAAATTTCAATTTCAAATAACTAGGTCGATGATCTCGTTTTCATGCTAGGGGCCCTGAGCATTTCTCGGGAAATACCTGAATTTTCACACTATGACCAATTTTTTCTTCCCTCACAAAATATTACAAGCAATAAAACTCTTTGAATAATGAAATATTATAGCAATGGAACAGGGTTTCTTCACATAAAGAAATGAGTAGAGTTTGGGCCATAAACGTGATAATTATTACAGAATTTCCTCTGCCATATTAATATTTTTTGCCTATTTTTAATCAAATATTGCAAAAACCTGACTGATAATAACTCTTAATTATTTATAGCCTTAGGTTACTTTTGTTACCCCCATTCTCATGGTATTAACGTTATATGGGGTCAATGATCAAATTATTCAGATTTGTTGACTGCAGTGGTTTTTGTACATGTTTTTGAATTTCTTTATTTCATAGCATTCATTTATTTGAAATAATTTATGAGCTTAAACACATATAAAATTTGCAAAATGATGTCTTCAAATACATCTTACCTTTACTTTGTGATTAATATTGCAAGAAATAGAAATTTTGGCAAAAAATGAAAAAATAAAAAAAATTAGTCTGAATTTCCTCTGCAGAGCCTTACACTGAGTTTTGTTCCTGTATATTTTCTACAACTACTTACATATAAAATTTTTAAATTGATATTGAGTTAAAACTTTTTTTTTATTTTATCCATTTAGAACAATTTTTAATTTGATATATTATACTTTACAAAATTTCCTCTCTGATTTCTGAAACCTGAATAAACGTCATCCTTAAAGGAATGACCAGGTGTTTTGATCAAAACGTAGGGCTTTACTTGTTTCGGTCATTAGATCAATTAGTAAGGCTTTACTAAAGGAATGCTCCAGTCTTTTAATTGAAGGAATGTTCTGGTTATTTGATCAACACATAGGGCTTATTTAAAGGAATGTTCCCCCTTTTAATCAACACATAGGGCTTAATTAAAGGAATGTTCCTTCCTATTAATCAATACATGGGGCTTAATTAACCCTTTGCCTATTGCGCCGTCTGTTCCGGTCGTTTGATTAATACGTAGGGCATTAATAAGAGAATGTTCTAGTCTTTTGATCAACACTTGGAAGATAATTGACGTAATATTCCGGTCTTTTGATCAATACGTAGGGCTGAATTGAAGAAATGTTCTGATCTTTTGATCAACACGTTGGGCTTAATTGAAGGAATATTCCGGTCTTTTGATCAACACGTAGGGCTTAATTAAAGGAATGTTCCGGTCTTTTGATCGATACGTAAGGCTTAATTAAAGGAATCCACCTTTTTAGCCTGTACATAGGGTTTACGGCGGGTGTGACCGGGGATGCTTACTTATCCTAGGTACCTGATCCCACCTTTACAGGGGTCTGTGTTTTCTACCCCCTCACAGATTTGTTTATGTTAATAGAATTTTTAAGATAATCATCATTAATCCTGATCACCATTTTCATAAAAGTCACAGTTCTGCCAATTTTACAGATGGAAAAAAAATAACTTGAAAAATTTGTGTTGATTTCAGCTTAAATGTATATTCTCTACGTCTGATAAGACTACATCAGTAACAGCAATTTGTCTTAATTGTTACATGTAATAGGATTGGCAATAAAACCATAATATCAAAACTAAATAAAAAACTGTACTTTATTACCTACAATGTGTTAAGAGAAATCATAAACATCGTGTGATAATCATGAAAATCCATCTTTTTAATTTCTCTATGCTAATTCATTCTTTTTTTTTTCTCTTCGATCTATTTTAACACTAGATACACCAGCGTTGAAGGGGTTGGCCTCGGCTCTGAGTTTTGCCGGAAAGTTTGGAATATCTGGTTCATTCATGACGATTTTCCTATACACACCAGAAATATATCCTACAAATTTAAGGTATGCCTTTTCTACACGTGTATTCATTCTGTAAATTTTAGGACAAAATTTGCAAATATTTAAAAAAAAATAAGATTTATATGTACTTTTACTTAGACAAAGAATCGTTGTGATTTCAGTTTGAAAAAAAGGGTCTCAGAAAAGATCCTTTTATTTGAAGTTTATGCGAAAAAGCATAGATTTTCATTTTTGCAGCTACAGCTGCATAGAACTACTAGTATGTGGATACAATAATCAACGAATTACATCAATATAAAGATCTAAGTTCACTTTATGCATAAAAAGGCCCTGTACTTATATATATCAATTACTTAACTATCACCCTCTGTCCCATTTCATATACCAAAATAGAGTAGACACTTTGAGCTTTCATTTCCTATAATAAAATTTCTTTTTGAGAATCCAGATATTGGAAAATAGGCTTTGAGAAATTATAATGTTTTTGAAATTTACAGAAATCATGCTTATTTGACCACCTTCAACAAAGAAATAAAATATGAGCACAGCCCACGATCCAAAAAATAAAACATGTTTTGTGATCTTCAGAAACAGGTCTTTCACTATCTATTTGCATATTTTGGACCAGAGGTTGTGCTCTATATTAAATATTGAAAAAAATACTTCAATTTTAGGCCATTTTCAAAGAAATTTACAGGATATGAGGAAAATGACGCATTTGATGATGTCATAATGGATTGACTAGAGGGAAAATTACGTCATGATCAATAGATACGTGGTCACCAACACTGCAAGTGATAAATAATGCATTTGCAACCTAAACTGAGCGGTTTTGATTTTTCAGAAATTCTCAGAGCCAATTTAATAAGGCCCAACGTGGCTCTTGCTCTTATGTATTTTAAGTGAGTCACGGAACTGATCTAAAGTTCTTTTAAGATTTTAATTTGTGCTCTACTGATAAAGTACAGGTTCTTTTGTTTTTTAAATGTTTCAATAATTGTTATTTTATTTAATTGACTTCCGTTCAATGTACAGTATAAAATCAACATTTTATGGTCTTTTAGTTATCCTATTTTTTTACGCACAAATATATGTATTTTTTAAGTACACTGTTGTTTGTTTTCCATTTTGTATGCTTATGCATATTTAAATGTTTAACGCACTAGAGTGTCATTTTTTAGAAAAAAAACCCTTTCATTGATTTTTCTTTTTTTTTCCTTCCTACTTGTTTCCCTTGTTTTAGAGCTTTAGGTATGGGTCTGGCATCTGCTGCGGCTAGAATAGGAGGGATGATCTCTCCTTATGCAGCCTTGTTCGTAAGTTTTTTTTAAATTAAGTCCAATTAATAATTTCATTTTACTTTCATTAATACAGACTTATGGGATATTTTTTTGTACTGGGGTTTTATAAATATTTGTTATCATCATATTTGTAATTTATGTTTAAGAAATAAGGTATCATTTTTTGAGTTTTATTAAGATGTAAAACGGGTTGGTCACGTGATCAAATTCCATAAAGTCCGAAGGGCTTTATGGAAGATTTGATCATGTGCCAACCCGTTTTACAACCAATAAAACTCAAAATTTGTGACTTATCCATACTTTAAATTTGCCTGATTGTGACTTTTAACGTGTGAAATGCGTTTTTTTTCAAACCCAAAGGCATGTATGTAATCCACTAAACGCGCGTCGACCCTTTATGACGTCACTGAGAAATTACGTCGAACGTTTCTCCATACGAACATCTATGACCTCTTGACCCCGTATATGTATTTATACACGCTTTATAACGCTTGCTTTCAGTTGTGATATATAAAGAAAAACATTTGCAAATGTAAATATATAAAGATAACGAACAACAATCCGACTACAAAGTCCATTGAAACAACACTTTCAAACGTGTAACTTGCTCTACCTACAAGCAGAGTAAAGTCGAAACTATAAAAACATCAGAAGTTGATCATACGCCATGGCGGAGTAAGCATTATTTGTGACACATTCCCTAAAAATAACTGCACTCTACTACAACTTAAATTGAGGATGATCTTCAATTTTATATCTTTGGAATGAAACCCGACCTGGGATTTTCAACAGAAAATAAAATAATGCTCACTTGGCCCCGATATTCCAATCAAAGTTCTAAAAATTGAAGGAAAAATGTTATTATTTTATAAACCTGAAATTACGTTACTTCTGTAACAATCAAAAGGACAAACTGATCCACCCCAACATAAAACTGTACTTGCTTCTGTTCAAATCCAACTCCGTGGTCATTAGTAGTACTTTTTATGAAATAGTGCCAATACTGATGTACGTGATACAAATGTAAATGAATTAATTTCGTAATATAGTTGATACCATGACCTTGTCAGCAAATGCAGTTTATCATTGAGTCAAATGCTGACTGATGTTTTTCATACTAATTGTAAGTCCATTATTTATACACTAAATTGAAGATACCGGTCACGGTAGCCTAGTGGTAGAGCGTTCGATTCGTGATCGGGAGGCCCGGGTTCGATTCTCGATCGCGGCGCCGCGTCATACCTTAGACGTAAACATAGCTATAGGTAGTGACTGTTCCTTCGCCAAGCGCTCGGCACTAGAAGTGAAAGTCACGAGTCTTTCGGATATGACCTTAAAAACGTAGGTCCCGTGTCACGGTAGGCGTTGGCATGATAAAGAACCCTCACTGCTCAATGGCCCTGAGTGCCGAGTATAGGTCTAAATTTGAAGCCCTTCACCGGCATCGGTGACGTCTCCATATGAGTGAAAAATTCTCAAGAGGGACGTTAAACAATATACAATCAATCAATCAATCTAAATTGAAGATGGATTTTTTCCGTTATTTCCCGATCATGACAAGGAGCACACAGCGGGTGTGACCGGTCGGCAAGGGATGCTCACTCCTCCATGACTCCTGATACTACCTCTGATGTTTTGAAGGTCCAGTGTTTGCTCTGCTTCTGTTTCGTATTGTTTTATGGACATTTGATCCTTAATACTGTTCGTTTTCTCCATATATTTCATGTACACTTATTTGCCTATCGTTTTTTTTGTGTGACCCATAAACAAGGAATGCTAATCAATGGCACGCGATACTGTAAAACAACTTATATTCCCGACATCTTTATTTCGCGATTTACCCAGAGCTAGTAAGCAACTTTTATTTGCTACGATTTATTTTCGCGATCAAGCCTTTTTAGAACTGTTTTAGTAGAAAAAGAGACTTTAAGGATGCGTGCGCGGCGAGAAATATTCGCGTTGACAAGGCTCTTGCGAACGTCGCGAAAATTTCTCGCTCGCGAATAAAAGTTTGTTTACAGTATCTACTGATGTTTTCAAAGGTTCGTATTTACTCTGTTTTCTATTTGTTCTTGCTTTAATGGACGTTTGAGCTTGATTTCACTTCGTTATCTTTACGTTTCATACATTAGCTTTCGTACCTTATTTCAATAAAATAAAGACGTGTTTGTGAAACACTGATGCCCCGTGTTTGTAACTTATAGCAAAAGTTCAAATCTTTTCAAATACAAATCAAGTACGTTTGGAGAAGTAAAGGCTTCTCACAAGAAATACACTTGTGAAATAGCACTCGCACTAACTGTTTAAAGGTTATGACCAAACTTAATGTTTTTTTTAAAAAGTAAATCAAACTTCAAGGTTATACTTTATTGATACCTTAATAATAATTATATAAGCCCTATTTATCATATAGGGCGCCTATATCCCATGGGGTCCAGGTGTGGTGTTTGGCTCTCTGTCACTCGTGGTAACAGTTCTGTTTCTATGGTTACCCGAAACAACTGGGAAGGAACTGCCAGATACCCTAGAAGAAGCCAAGAATTTCTATGTACTGAAGGACAACAAGAAAAAGACCACAATGAATGCTTTAAACGGAGATTTCTAGCAAAAAATTGACAAGACTCTACACGTTTCTAATTGTAAATTACAAAAGTGTACACATTATACAGGAGAAACGAGCTTTTTTGTATTTATCATACATCATAGTCAATATGCATTCCTAATGAAGAGAAGAGGTGACCTTCCATGTTTGACATCGTATTCGTAGGTTTTGGTTATTTGAAGCAGAAGATAAAATGTTCATTTTTTGAACGAACGCACCGTAACAATAGCTTATTCGATTAAGCGGTTGTTCTGTTGCATGTTGGAGAGAGGATTGATATTTAAAAGAAAATCTCATATCACTTCCTACAAAACTTTCGGAAAACGTGAGGTAGATCCAGCATCTGACCCTTGTCATTTGGTTTGAAATCCAAAATGAAACACCGGTGCATGTTTGGTCACGATAGAGCATATAGTTACATAAGAATTAGATCCCCTCCATAACCTTTATGCTTTTCACTTATCAAGACTAGAAAGTTCAAAATGGAGGCACGTGTCACCTGCACGTTGTAGATTCATTAAAGATGTAAATAAATCTAAGAGTGGTTACCTTCTTATAAATACTATTTGCATGATTATTCGTGTATTTTCCTGCAAAGAAACAATGAATATTATAAAACTGCAAAAGAATCTTACAGTTCAAAACAATCTTTTTCCCTAACCCTCAGATGAATAAATGAATTGAAGTTTTAATATTAGAGATAACTATTTATTCTCATATCATTAATATATGTTAACAACAATACTTCAAAAGATATTTCAGTCTGTCTCTACTGCAATTGTAGGTCTACACGATCAATTATGGAATAAGTATATTCATAGTATTTTAATATTTACATTTTCAAAGTAATGTTTGTTTCCAACAGTCCTCCAACACATTTCAGTTTATCTTCACTGCAACAGTCAGTCTACATTGTGGAGTACAGATCCAATGCATTTCAAAATATTTGACAATAAGTCTGTGTGGTAACAGAATATCAAAGTGCAGTATAATGAGTTCATAAACATATATAAATTCTAATAATGATCAAAATCCCGCCTCTCGGGGGGAATGGTTTGTAAAGTAGGTCTGACGTCAAGGTCGAGTGTAATACTTGAATTTTTTTTCATAATTTATTATGACAAATGGTGCACATATACTTAATTGCAGGGACACATTTCTTACCTGAAAAAACATATATATTTGTTTTATATCGGCACTATGAACTATCTTGAAAAGTAGGTCAAGTCCAAGCTCAGGAGGTCTGTAGCTCTAGTAATTTACAAAAGTTATAGTGCCAAGCAACAATGTGTAAAATTTCCAATTATCTCTTACAGTTCTTGAGATATAATGTGTGACAGACGGACGGACAGATAGACTGCATATAAAGTGATCCCTAAGTACCGCTTTGAATACTGTGCGTTATCTTCATACCCTTCACTTGCTGACACGGTCATTGTATTGACCATAGAACTTACAAAACTTATACCATATCTTTCTTCTGACTCATGTGTATACACTGTACCAAGTTTTCTCTGTTACTTAGCTAAATATCTCTCCTTCGAAAATAATTATTCAATCATATCCAGCGTATTCATGTTGTTTTGTCAAGGTTTAGGAAATATAAGTATTATTTTAAAAGGACAGGAAACTCAAGTGGAGTGCTGTTTGAACGTTGTTCTTAAGCGTCGGGAATGAGAAACTTTGGTTGATTAATTTATCTTTAATTATTATTACTGTGGTTTCATTAATATTCGTGGGCATCAATTTTCGTGGATTTAGTAAAATTCACAGTTTCGTGGATACGTAAATTCGTGGATAATGGTCCTAACAGAGAATTTTTTTCTATCTTTTCATTTTTTCTTTCGTCGTTATGATTTGAACGGATCATTGTGCCATTTACAATGTTAGGGTACGTTGATATTGTTACGTTTCACGAAGTGTACCTGTGAAATTCGGGTTAATTCTTGTTTACAAGTTTGGAATATATGGAACTTGAACCCGATGTTTATAAACTCCGTAAATAATTGTCAATGAACAGTTAACGAAAGAAATGAACAATAATTGATTTAATGACTTTATTAATTTAACATGTATAATTTAATGAGAAAGTGATGTATTTTGTATGTTTTATATGGGTACAACGTTATTAATTTAGTAGGTAATTTTGTTGGCTAAAACCCGCTAACTTATTGATTGTGACGTAATATAGGTATCTGATTGTCTCTTACGTCATCATAACAACTTTTGTCTATATAAACCAGCTGTTTTGGGTTTAGACTTCAGTCGGCTGTGGGGAGCGACTCGGAGCACACAGCCTTCCCTGGTAAGGGAAAAGTGACCTAAGTCACTTTGGGGAACGACTCCGTATACTTCGGTTATAAGACGGTACCAAGTCTATGTATACGAAACCATTAAGGGGACCAAGTTAGTAGGAACGTCCTGTATTGACCATCGGTTGGTCACCTTTTTCTTAACCAAATAACGTTGTACCAACCAAGTTACAGTGTACCATTTTGTGTGTTTATAAGTGAACCATTTGATCGTCTTAATAAATGTTATAAACTTTAAACAAGTGTTATTCCTAACAAACATTATTTAAAGTGACCAAAAATTGGTCATTACGTCAACCAAAGAAGTGACCAAAAGTTGGTCATAATGTCAACTAAATAAGTGACCAAAAGTTGGTCATTACGTCAACCAAAGAAGTGACCAAAAGTTGGTCATAACGTCAACCAAACAAGTGACTAAAAGTTGGTAATTCCATTAACCAATTAAGTGACCAAAATTGCTCATTAACCATAATATAAACTGTGACCAACGGAACCATCAAACCTCGACCAAGTGACCAGAAGACCAATAGCGGCCCACGAGTTTATTACACGATACCCTCGGTCTCGTTACATTGGTGGCAGCGGTGGGATCCGCTTTCCTGTGAATTGTGAACCTAAACCATTACAAAGATGTCGAGGAACGAAAAATTGGTTGAGGAAAGTGACCATAATACAGAACCAAAAGAACCACGATTTATCGACGGTACTCCAAGCAAAGAAGTTCTTTTGCGGGTTAATAACAACGACCAGATAGGAGACGGCAGCGCAGTCAATACATGTACCAACAACAGTCTACACATAATTCTACAAGAATTAAAAATGTTGAAGTCCCAGATGAACCAATTACAATCTCAAGTGAGACCAACGAGTGCTAACAACCAATATGTAGACCAAAATTGCGTGCAGTCCGGTACCAGAACTACGTCTGAAGATGAACAAATACGCAGTGAGCATCGACCATACAGAAATACACCTCTACAAAATTTATGTGAAGAATTTCGGTATCATGAACCTTCAAGGACAAGTTGGTCAAACCCGACGGTACCACGAAGTTACACTACCAATGATGAGACCAACCAATTTCAGCCGACCATGCGCAGCGTCGATTATGATGTACCAAATTATGGTCACACAAGACAAGCCTATGACCACGGATTCAGGCGTACCACGGAACCTAAAGGGAGAAAACCAGCAACATTCGATGGTACCATGAACTGGAACGACTATATAGTTCATTTCGACATGATCGCCCAATTGAACCACTGGAATGAGGAAACAAAGGCATTAGAGTTAGCAACCAGTCTACGCGGCCCGGCACTAAGCGTTTTGAGTGACCTACAACCAGAATATCGGTATAATTTTCGTCACCTTGTTACCACACTAGCAGCACGATTTGACCCAGAAAACCAAACAGAAATCTACAAGACGCAACTAAAGAGCAGAATACGGAAGAAAAACGAAACGATCACAGAATTAATGCAAGACATAAAGCGACTTACGAGAATGTCATACCCGAACGCACCCCTAAGTTTCCGCGACCAGATAACCAAAGATTCGTTCATCGGAAGTTAAAATGACCAAGAAATGGAATGGGCAGTATTTCAAGGAAAACCTACAGACCTAGAAGATGCAGTGCGACTGGCATTGGAATATGAGGCCTTTCAACAAGCGCGGGGGAGACGAAATACAGTTGCAGTGCGTATGCAGACAGAGGAACCAACGTACATAACCGAAAACGATGAAAACTCATATCAAATAGCTATGATCAGTCAAAACACAGAAAAGAAGTTTTACAAGAAAGGTCCCTGTTTCTACTGCAAGAAAGACGGTCACATCAAAAGAGAATGCAGGTTACTACAACGGCACCTAAAAAATGAAACATACAGAAACCAAAGAAAACCAGAGTACGTAAAAGACGTGACAACCAGAGAACCTGAGAACCAGGGAAACGCACAGTAGTTTACGTCGGCGGCCAAACGTCAACTACAAAACAGAAAAGGCCACATGTTTTTGGGATAAAGAACTCAAATACTCGCAGTACCAACTTATTTACAATTGATGTGCTTGTTAACAATGTAAAAATTAATTGTGTCATTGACACGGGTTCAGTAATAACAGTTATCCACCCAAAGAAATATTACGAGATAGAAAGATGCGTGAGACCTAAATTATTTCCAAACCATAGTAACTTACAAATGGCAAACGGCGATTTAGTTGTACCAGAAGGTCAGACTGAACTTCAAATTGGTATTAATGGTGAAGTTACGGAACATAAAGTGGTCGTCGCTGACGTTGAGTCACATATGATTTTAGGTCTTGATTTTCTGAAACAGCATAATTGTCAATTGAATTTGGGTGAAGGAACTCTTACATTGGGAAAGAATAAATTACCATGTGACCTTAAGAGTGAACACAATCCGGTGTTCAAAATTTGCGTACAAGAAGCTTTACACCATGATAATGATGACCGGCGACTATGTGAACCTCATGACGAGAAGGAGACAAACTGTACCGTCGGTGACTCAAAGAAGAATCAACCAAGGGAAGTCAGAGGAAAACCGGGTCAATGTTTATCTAGGGAACCACTGGAACAAGTGGCCAACGACATCCTTGGTCCTTTACCACGGACCAAGAAGGGTAACAAGGACGTTGTTACCAGTTCAGATGATTGCACCCGATGGATAGAAGCAACCGATAACCAGAAACGAAAGTATGGCACCAAGTCATACCAGATTCAGTACATCCCAGGGCAGTATGTGTGGATTGCGTCAAAGTCAAGGACCAAAGGAAGATGTCTTAAACTTAAGGTTCATTGGAATGGACCTTACACAGTGTTACGCGCCGTGTCAAATTCGGTATTCAAAGTGAGAAAGTGTTGAAGCAGATGACATTATATCCGTGTAATGCGTATCTCGAAAGATATTACCAGTGGACTTGTATTAGTCATTGATAAAATACCCCGAAACGAGGACGTTTCGACTTAAGAAGGGGGTAATGTTACGTTTCACGAAGTGTACCTGTGAAATTCGGGTTAATTCTTGTTTACAAGTTTGGAATATATGGAACTTGAACCCGATGTTTATAAACTCCGTAAATAATTGTCAATGAACAGTTAACGAAAGAAATGAACAATAATTGATTTAATGACTTTATTAATTTAACATGTATAATTTAATGAGAAAGTGATGTATTTTGTATGTTTTATATGGGTACAACGTTATTAATTTAGTAAGTAATTTTGTTGGCTAAAACCCGCTAACTTATTGATTGTGACGTAATATAGGTATCTGATTGTCTCTTACGTCATCATAACAACTTTTGTCTATATAAACCAGCTGTTTTGGGTTTAGACTTCAGTCGGCTGTGGGGAGCGACTCGGAGCACACAGCCTTCCCTGGTAAGGGAAAAGTGACCTAAGTCACTTTGGGGAACGACTCCGTATACTTCGGTTATAAGACGGTACCAAGTCTATGTATACGAAACCATTAAGGGGACCAAGTTAGTAGGAACGTCCTGTATTGACCATCGGTTGGTCACCTTTTTCTTAACCAAATAGCGTTGTACCAACCAAGTTACAGTGTACCATTTTGTGTGTTTATAAGTGAACCATTTGATCGTCTTAATAAATGTTATAAACTTTAAACAAGTGTTATTCCTAACAAACATTATTTAAAGTGACCAAAAATTGGTCATTACGTCAACCAAAGAAGTGACCAAAAGTTGGTCATAACGTCAACTAAATAAGTGACCAAAAGTTGGTCATTACGTCAACCAAAGAAGTGACCAAAAGTTGGTCATAACGTCAACCAAACAAGTGACTAAAAGTTGGTAATTCCATTAACCAATTAAGTGACCAAAATTGCTCATTAACCATAATATAAACTGTGACCAACGGAACCATCAAACCTCGACCAAGTGACCAGAAGACCAATAGCGGCCCACGAGTTTATTACACGATACCCTCGGTCTCGTTACAATATCTTTTAAGAATATTATTATCAGGAGAAAACTCTTTAAGTATATATTTATCTCCATTGGCTTTTCAAAAGTCGGAACCTTCAACAGTGAATTATTTCTTTAATTCGCAAGTGTGGAATACGGACAAAAATTATGATCGCAAGTGTGGAATATGGACGGTAATTGAGTTGCAACAGGATATTAAAAGTAACAACAATTAGTTAATTAATCAATTCACAAAATGGCGTTAGTTACTCATTTTCACATGCACGGCGTGTTTTGGGACTTGACAGAGACATCCAGACCCCTTGTTTGAAGATCTCGGAACAAAGCACATTCACGTGCGATCATGCACGATGGGTACAACATCCGTTTGAACAAGTAATATGAACGAAAATAATTCAGCCATGAATGACAGGACTTTCGCAGCATACATGTATACCCATTACCTCGTATAACAAAAATATGTTTCTAAGCAAACAGATAAAATTCAAATAGCTTTAAATTGTGTTGATAATTTGTATAAATTTAGCATGTTTTTAACGGCAGAGAGAAATTATTTCTATCAGATTTTCTATATAACCAATAACGGTAATTTGTTGTTTTCACTGTACAGGTGATAATTGGGGTTTGGACACTTAAATTGTTTAAGTAAACAATTAAACACATTTACGCCTGATTATCATCCTATGGCTTTGGGGGGTATATCGCTGATTGGTATATGCACTGCGTTGACAGATCTACGTGTTGTTTGTTTATCTCCGTGCAAAACGTTTTACTGAAAAAAATTATAATAATTATTTATAATTATTTCCTCATCTTTAAAATGATTATTAAAAAAAAGGAAAAATACATCGTTAAAGTCGATCTGTTGAGGAAAAAAGGGGTAGGGGTATTTAATATATATTAAAACGAAAGTCGGAATGGGCTTTTAAAAGGTTTATCGTAAATCAAAATGGAGGCACCAAACTTCGTTGAACATTTGATTTCGTGGATCAACTCAACAACGAAATCCACGAAAATTGGTGTTCCACGAATAATGATGAAACCACAGTATTTAAATAATTCTGAATTTTATTTATGAGTTTTTGTGACTTTATTTGAGTGATTTTTCGAGAGGGACGTTAAATAACAAAACAAACAAACAAATTTTTGATGTATTTTCTTACTTGGTTTGTGTATGTTTAGTTTGGTTTTTTTCCATATAAATTTATTTTACTTTTACTATTATTATCATTACATCCCCAAATGTATTTTTATCCATGAAAAATTCAGTGTGTAAATAATATTCAAGAAATCTAATTCGTATAAAAAAAACTCCAATCAGTATTTTACAAACATGACAAATGATAGATTGAATTTGCCAAGGTCACCAAAGCGATCACGGAACTTAAAAAATTATTACTTTAAAAGAAACTGTTCATATTCTTGATTCAAAGACTTGTTTTTCAGAAGCTTGCTTCGTTTTCCAAATTGTTCGTACTTACAATATGTTCAGGTGTATGGAATCAGCCAAGAGACAGAAGGCCAATATTCAGATGATAAGAATGTATTTTTTTTTCATAAGAAAGGAAAGCTGACGATTGAAAAGTTGAAGTTGTTATGTTCGATTGACATCTTTTTTCGGTAAAATATAGCAATATCAAACAGATGCATAAGACTTTGTGGTATTTCTTATTGCAATCTTAAGTTATGATCAAATTCTTGTGCCTTTTTTCTGATTGATATTTGAAAACAAATAAAGTCCAAAGGAACAAAAAAGACCTCAAATAAAATGAAAGATTTACTTTACATTTTAATGCTAAGGGAGAAATCAGCCCTGAGCTAAAAGTAATAAAAGCTCATTACCTAAAATATCTGTATTCTCTTTTAAGTGCCATCAAAAGTATTTAATGTCAATACCAAATGTCATAAATAATGCATTTATTATTCCACAAGATGTCACCAATGACAAATTTAGCAATTTTCAAGATGTAGTTGACTCTACTTTCGATGAATGTCAGGCCTCATGAATAATAAGGGTCATACATCAATAAAGCCGCTCAGCAGCATATTAATCATTAAACTTATAAAAGTTTTGGAGAAGCTATTTTTACAAGTATATCCATGCCCAATATTAACCAGAATTTCCTTACCAAGTGTATGTTCTTGGTACCGGTCTAGTTACAGATGCTGCATTTTCAGTTGAAGACTTTCCAAGTAAACGTATTTTAAAAAGGCATGTTTAAGTTAAAATGCAGTTTTAGGCTCTTGTTGAACAGACTTGCTGTATGATGCATCCTTGGATATAAACTAAAAGACTTATTTCAGAACTGGTTATAATTTTAATTTTCGTATCGCCTGCAAAGCAAAGTCAGCATTTGACTTAATGATAAATTGTATTTGCTGACAAGGTCATTGTATCGACCATAGAACTTACGAATTGATGACTTTAAACGAGACTGCTGATATTCTTGTTTCATCAACTTGCTTGTCAATATTTTACCTCATTTTAGAAATTGTTTATACGTAGAGCATGCTCTTGCGTATCGAATCAACTGAAATATATATACTCCGTATGCAGGTGATGAAGTTCTATTTATAATTGAGTCGAATGCTGACTGACGTTTTTCATACTAATTGTTAGTCCATTATTTATATACTGAATTGATGACGGATTTTTCCGTTATTTCCCGATCATGACAAGGAGCACACCACTGGTGTGACCGGTCAGCAGGGGATGCTCACTCCTTCATGACTCCTGATACTACCTCTGATGTTTCGGAGGTCTGTGTTTGCTCTGCTCCTATTTTGTATTGTTTTATAGACTTTGATATTAAATACATTTCGTCATCTCAATATCCTTCTTTGTGTGTTTTTTAATCACCCTAGAAGCCCTATAAGAATTCTTAACTCAATTGCGTTGCAATTCAATTCCTTGAATTATTTTCTTTTAGCTACGGAACAGGAGCTATATCGTGCAGGTAAAAAAATCACTCTGGAGGATGACATTTTCATTCACAGAAGAATATTGATTCCTTGATAAGTTAGTACTTATTTGAGAGATAAATGAAATGAGATAATGAAAGTTATCAATCACCTATTCCATTGAAGCAATACAGACTGGGAGCAGGACATACAATGATCTCTAAAACATCAGAAGTTGTATCCGGTGCCATGAAGGGGAACCCATTCCCTGTCACTCATCCGCTGCGTGCCCCTTGTCACGATCGGCCTAATGGAAAAACCCGTTCAGTGTTTAATTAATGGTTTAAAAATTAGTTTCAAAACATGTCAGCATTCGAATTTATAGTAGATTGTATTTACTGACAAGGTCATTGAATAGATCATAGAATTTGCGAAATGTTGACATTAAACGAGACTGTTGATATCCTTGTTTTATCAACTTGTTTGTTTATAGTTTACCTCTTTTTATACATTGTTTGTATGCAGAGTATGTGTATTTTATAAATTAGAACTAAATTGGAAGTCATTAACTCAACATGGAGGTGATAGGGGTCTATTACTTAATAAAAAAGGATGTTGACAATAGAAAAGATGAGGTCAATATGGTTATCATAATGCTTTGATGTTTTTTTTTCCTGATGTATATCTAAATATGATGTGTCAGACTATTTTGTCTTTTAGTTTAAGTTCATCGAGATAAACAGAGTTGACATAAGAATGGAAGTAACTTTTGATTGAGTAAAAAAAAATTCTGATTTTAGGAAATAAATTTTGTCTCTGCATTCAGTCACAAAAGGAATGAATTTTTAAAAGAAATAGATTAAAGTCTTCATTAATAACAAAAATGAGACATACTTTTATGAATGAACCATGAAATTTCATTGAGATGATGTTGAAAACAAAAAGAGAAAACGAAATATTGTTTTTTAATGGGCATTATCAATTGCAATAAATTACAAAAATAAAACTATTTTGCATTTTTTATTGTATCATATGTATTGACAAGATTTGTTAACGATCCATGTCTGTTCTCGTTGAACTATCGATGCAGTAAGCTTATATCTAAGCTTTATTTAAACTATATCACAAGCACATTTATTCTAGATCCTAGGCATTTGTTGGTAACAAAATGGATGTAGACAATATTCTCCGGGCCTTAGGAAAGTATGGCCGATACCAAGTATTACAGTTAACATATAATCTGTTCTGTATGCCTCTACTGACCTATTGTGTTGTTATCTATGTTTTTATTGGTGAGTACAATATGTTATCTATGTTTTTATTGGTAAGAATATTTATTTTGTTCAGTATGTCTCTCCTCACATATTAAGTTATTTTTGTTTTTATTGAGTACATTTAATATTATAACGTCATAATGTAAAATTATGTCAAACCACTGCCAGCCTAAGGTGTTATGATCTTTACAACTTATTTCAAACTTCATGTTTTATGTAAGAGTGTTATTGCAAAAACTCACGGGTCATACAGTATTTTTACAAAAAACTTAAATGTACGTCTTTTTGTAGTCATACATCGCAAACGTAACCATGATTGAAATTAATTGATCAGAATGCTTTCAAAAAAAAGTTTTGAAATTTACTCTTTTGAAATCCGTGGTGGGAGGAAGAGTTTATTTTGTGTGTATAAAAGTGTCTTTCACAGGCGACCGATGAAGATTACTCTGACTTTGGTTAAAATATGTAAGAAGGGGTTTTCTCTAACTGAATCTTGCTTGGGAAATGAGTGATTTGTTTGTGTCGATACAGATTATGACATTGTTCGGAAAATACCGTCAAAGAACTCGACATACAAAATGCCTTATTTAGTAAATATGAAAAAAAAAATATAACAATGCTTCAGAATATGTTTTGGATAATTCTCACCCTAAAACATTAAGACATTTTACATATACAACATTTCTGTTAAAACCCAGTATTTATTATGTCAAACTAAATCCTAAACCTCACCCTAATTCGAGGTTATCCTAAAAAATACCAATATTAACAAAATTAATGATTTAGTGATTTACACATACAGCACATTTGTTACCGCAAAATATAAAAAGAGAAAAATAATATTTAATATTATAATAAATAATATTCAGTAAAACACAGTTATAGCGAAGTCCTGGGGACCTGTGAATTTAAATCGCTATATCCGTAATTCGTTATATCCGTATAACGAATTCGTATAACCATATATAGTGAATCCGCAATATGCATGTTTTCCTTCAAGTGTTACTATCAAATATGTTAGGGAAGCAAATATAACAAAACATACCTTAGATAACTAAGGTTTTATTATGAATTGAATTTTATATACAAATGCTGAGAGAAAATAAAGTCAGTTCAATTATTCAAATTTGAAATCTTTGAAAGTTCGTTATAACAGATATAAAATTCATTATATTTAACCTCAACGGGACTCAAAATCAGTTCACTATATCCGTAAATTCGTTATATTAGAGTTCGTGATAACCGTAAAATTTTACAAAGATTTGTTAAGAATTTTGCCGGGGACCCAGAAAAACTTCGTTATATCCGTGAATTCGCTATATCCGTGTTCGTACTAAAGGTGTTTTACTGTAATAATAGAATAATATTTATTCGAGAAACATTAATTTTTTAGGCTATTTTTGATGGTCCGTGAACTTAGCTCTTTGACATTAAGTTGAAATTCTCAAAGAATATTTGTACAAAGAGACACTATGAGTTAACTTTTCTTAAGCAAATTACTTATATTTATTTATATAACAACATGTTAATTATTACTGTGTTAATCGGCTTCACTAAAGTGGTCTATGTGAAACATTTGGAAAAATTATGAATAATCGCCACGTGGTGACATGATAAAAATTATGTTAAAATCATACGAAATGATGTCCTGAGCACATTGAGTTAGATACAGAAATCGGCTTATCTGTATTTTTTTTAATCAGCTCGAAAATATATTTAGAATTTTGGCGAAGTCGAACAAAATTACTAGATAAATTTTTATTTTCAATTGATGCAGCTTATCTCATTTTGTTCATGACGTCAGTAAGCACCCAGCCGCTGTTTAGCGCTATGGAGAAGAATACTTCGTTTACAAAAGATATTATTATATATACTTATGAAAATCATTCTATATACTTATTACTAATAGAAACTCCAACAAAAGAACTGTTTATAACATCGGTCTAACAATTTCACTATATTGACCTGACTTACATAAGAATTCTTAGACCGCAACGTCACTCGTCTGTTACGTCACAAGTAATTAATCATCGTCCAATATCGGCGACGCGAAAATAGCCGAAGTTAAAAGCTACAAGAGTTATTGCTGGCAGCAAGGTAAGGAAGAAGGGAAGAGTATGTTTTGTGATAAATAATGTTTGTGATACAATAGATATATAATTGATTTTGTTCTTTCTCAGCTTGATGTTTTATATTTACTGAAGAAGCCATAATTTTCCATATGAAATAATCGATAATATAGCGTGTATATGTATTGATTAAATTGATCAATCTTAAGTGAGCAGTGAAGGGTATCACAAAACATTTACAGACTGGGATTCAGGTAACGTATGTTTTTTTGGACATTTTCACCTTCAGGTCCAACTAATCATATGTTGACCTCATAACCAGTCAATAACTGTATATATCAATTTACAACGTACTTTTAATAAATAATAATCATGGCTAAAACCTTATATAAGTATACGTTGTTCGAATAAGTTGAATTTTATTGCATATTTCAAGATTTTCATATGTTTTAACTGTGTAATTTCAATTGGATTAACATATGGGAAGCCCTCTTATTATTTATTCGTAAAATAAAAAAAAATCTTTCAATTAAAAAAAAAATATCTGTCTAACATGGTAAGATATCTTTTTAGCTTATAGAAATATCTCTTTGTCTAATAGAGATATCTTTATACCCTATAGAGATATCTCTTTTAACAAAAGATATATCTCTTTTTGTAAGAGATATTTTTCTACTTAGAGAAATATCTTAATAAGCTAGAAAGATATATCTTTCAGCGAGAGAGATGCCTCTTAAATTTAGAGAGATATCTCTTTAACAAGGTCAAAAGATATATCTTTCTAAGTTGACGAGATATCTCTAAAAACTTTCAAAAAGAGATATCTTTCTATGCTTAAAAGAACTCTTTAAAATAAAATAATTTATTCTTGTCTTTAAAACGAAAGCGAAACAGGAAGTGAAGTCGTTGGAATAAGATTTTCGTTATGAGAAAAAAAAAAGACATTTTGTACAATGAAAAATGTCTTTTGTTCTCAAATTAAATATTATTTGCAATTAAATAAAAGGCTGTTAACTTGGATGCGATTTCTATTTTATTTTATTCTATTTTTGTTTTAACATGTAGATTCAAACCACATTACATTTTTTTATATCCACGAATTCCTAAAAAGAATCGCCCATCCGAATAAAGTATGCATTTTTATTTTAAAAAGTCGCCGATATTTCCATTTGTAACCTTAACTGTGCTGCGAAGTTTCTCATATCGCTCTAACCGTCTAATCGTGTCACTTTTTGGCAACCGTCAGACACCATTTCAAGAACGTTTCCGCCCGACCTCCACTTTTCGGTCTTTCTGTGCTCTGCTGATCATTCAGTGACCCACGACCTGCTAAAAATTGCTGAAACAATCTAGTAACAAGGCTTTTATTTACATTTTATCTTTTGTGTGTCTTATTATCATCATAACTGTTTCTAAAGGCGATTTCCATTTTGAAGCAAAAACGCATTACAGATCGTTTCAGCGGATTTTCACCATTTCCACGTTTATTTTGTTCAATCCAGCACATTAACAAATAAATTTTATGATCAAAAAGCAATGAAGTCATTTTATTTTCAACTTAAGATTGGAAAATGTCGAAAAATTTTGTCTTTTAAAATATTGGAGATCAATTTTTTTTATAATGGCTTTTTCATGTGTTTGGCTTTTTTTTTTTTTCATTTTAACAATTAAAATTTAAAACGTGACGTTTAGTTGTGACGCGACGACACCCCAATGTTTAATATTTTAAACATCTATAAAATTAATTCAAGTAAATATTATTAAATGAAATTTTCAATTTTGATTAGATTTATTTTTATGCATAGTCTGGTATATCATATTTGTTAATAAGGAGCCAAATATTAAAGATAATCATATTGTCACAGTGACATTACTTTCGATTCAACTCTCGTAATACTTCCAAAAATTTATAAGTCCAAATTTAGTAAAGGAACATTGATTCATCATTATGTTGAGACAGGTGTTTATCAATCTTTATGGCAGTTACAAAGAAACTGCTTTAAAAACTTGGCAGTGAATATTATGTGTGTACACATAATGACACATTGCCATTACTTTTGAATCAACTCTCGTAATACTTCCAAAAACTGGAAGCAAGTAACGACAGGTGTTAAGGTAAAGGTATCAAGCTAATTCAGAGAATTCATGTCCCCCGCTTAGGGAAAAAGTCTGAAGAAGAAGGGATCCCTCTGACTGAATTTGTAGAATTATTAAATGTATACATGTATACTGAAGCAAATAGAATACATGTATGTCAAAATGCGTATAAAGATTTGATTGCTTATTCTTTATTATGTGTTTAGAAGATTCTTTTTATATGGAATATTTATCACACTGTAATGATGATTCTATAACCTCATAAATTATTCTTTTCACATGCTGAATACTATCATTTCAAAAAAAAGTTTAAAAAAGGATAGTCAGGGACTCGATCCCGGGGCCTCTTACATGTGAAGCGGGAGACATACCACTAGACCACGGAATCGCTTTAAATATTGGCAGGTATATGCAGAAGTGAAGTCACATACATGTACATATTCATGTTCGGTATTGTCAAAAAATTAACACAATCCATGGTGTTTGATTTATTTAACCTTTATTAAACAGTTTTGATAGATGTAATAAGAACATAAAGTCCGCCAAGAACCTGTTTTATACGCAATAACTCTCTGCATGCCCCTATGCTAAAAATAGCGACATGTAATACTATAAATACTAATAAAACAAACGAGGCGGGCACTTTGAGAGGGGTGAGAGAGGTCCTAGGGAGTTTTGGTATAAAATTATTTTACATAATCTCAAAATCTTCTTGAAATATTGTTCGAAAATGATAATGTTACACACAGACAGAATGTATCAATTTACGACCTTGAACTTTGACCTTATGATCTCAAAATCAATAGGGGTCTTCCTTAGGCCACAGGGAGTTGCTATGTATAATTTCATTGC